GTTCACTGGCATCTTCTACAGTAATATAATACAATCACTTTTCAGACTTCAAATCAAACAGAATAATCAGCCGTTTTCCACTTGAGTCCACAGCAGATGTTGAACTAAAATGTATGAATTCGTCACAATATCAGTAGTACATTGATAGTGTATTGTCTAGACCTGCAGGACCATTTATGGTTAGAAGTCGTGTGTATGTGGTGTGAAGTGTGTTTTTTTGTATGGTCTGCTTGGTATCCAGCAGGTTATTGAGACATACAAACAAACAGCAGGGAAGATGCGCCATTTGGCCGCATCTGCCTGCCAAAGGCTCAGGACTCTCTGCCAGACGTTTGTGTAGAGTACCCTGCCCTCCTTTCTCTGAGTTAACATCTGCCTTGACTCCCTGGCCAGGCCACTGTGAAAACAGCACTGCGTGAGAAGAGGCACTCCCGTTCACTGGCTTACTGAATGCTAATAACACTGGCCTGAAGTGGACCTCTTGCCACCCTGCAGCCTTTTTCTGTGGCAAGCGAGAAACGCAAGAGCAGGGTGGGTTTTAGTGTTGGTAAGAAGACCCAAGCATTACCTCATGCTTAAGAAAAGCCTTCGGTGTATTTTCACTATATCCGCAGGGAACAATTACAAGAGCAGTGACGGACCTCCAAGATCATTAGAATCAGAATGGAGGAGGCGTAGGCCGAGTTCACTCTGGCTGGGCCTGCCTGTGAGGTGATCTGATTGGGCTTTATGCCAACGTTGTCCTGAAGAGGAAGAGTGGGACACTGGGACCGGCTGACTACCCTCTGACTGATGTCAATAGATTACTACCAGGACACAAAGGTTCATACCTGAGAGCTGAGGCTTCATGCTAGGCCTTCTTTGAATCACTTAAAGAGTGTTTTGCTAGCACTCTCCCCTTTTATGTTGGGAGGGCAAAAGCACAGCGTTATGGTTTTTTCCAATAACAATCTCCTCAGGCAGGTCTGGAACACACACTTGGTTGTTGCAAAAATTTTCTGCTGCCGGGTAGCTGTAGTGTGGCATCGCTTTAATGACACTGAGTGGTGTTATTAAGTGTAAATGGGTCTACCGTTTGCCTTCGGGGTCTTCGGATTGAGGTAACCTTGCTCGTTTGCGTAACTCTGCGCATGAGTTAAGCTGTATAGGAAAGACATAGCGAGTAAAACTACTCTGGTATGAATCATGTCACTTCTTCCACGCGTGTGCGTGCCGCTTTGTATTTTTAACTAAGACTTGATTTATCGAATTGGTCACTCCCAGGACAATCTCCTCTCGACCTCCATACTTAGCGACCAATCAATCCCCACTTCTGGGCGGTCAATCCCCACGCAGGAGATGTGGAGAATTGTCTACAACCATAATAATGGTTTTGTTTGTTCCTATATCAATGTCCCTATTTAGCACGGTGTCACATGTAATGAATGGTATGACGTTCTTTTAAGGAGATACCATTTTTAAAAATAGTTTTATTTTGAGTTTTTATTATCCATGTCCCACTCCTGTGCTGCAACACAGCGTGACTGTCGAGGTTTCCAACGGTGAAAGGAAATTCAATATTAAAGAGGAACATCTATCACTTTATTGTCTCACTCACAAATGAGTTTTTGCGATGTTCCCTAAATGTGTTCATATATCTTGTTTTCTATATTATGCTGTGTGGTATCTATATGTTCAGCCTGTCCCTAAGAACTTCTAATTAATAGGGTGATATTGTAAGGAGATATTAGTTGAACAGTAGAGTAACACTTGTTTTTTTTTGTGTTCTTGTCTTATGCACGTTTCAAATGTGTCTAAAATTGGCACATACTCACATGAGAGAGAACAATTGCATGTGACTAAGATTTTAAGAATGAACTGATAATTACACCACGTATGATGCAGACCCTTACCCGCATGACACTACATTGATTAGTTCATTATTTATGAAATAAAGTCAATATACCTTATCACGCAATGTCGAGTAGAGAGTAACATAATGCTCAGTAGTTCCCTTGGTCTGCTTGGGGGCCCTTGGAGAAATTCACATTTCTCTGACAAGCATTAACATCAGGCGAATTGAGTCACAATTTTGCACAAGGGTCATGGTAATAGGAACGTAGCCTGTTCATATTCTCTGTTTGCAGAGTCTATCTCTTGTCTCGCCTGCTAACTATAATGACATCATCGAAAATCTAGAGATGAGAGGATAGACGGACGAGAAGGTAATGTCTGCCACGCCACTGTAAGTTCATAGGGATGGCGTGTGTGTGGTGTGTCGTTGTGTGTGTGTTTGTGTGTGTGTGTTGGTGTGTGTGTGTGTGTGTGCTGTGTGTGTGTGTGTGTGTGAGAGAGTTAGCCATTTGTTAAACTTGCAACCTGGTCATTTCTTACCTTCAAGTTCCATCCCACCTGTGATCCTGACCAGAAAGAAGAATGTGCAGAGTATGAATGGATGTTTTACAAAAGCTACTTGTTCATGTTGTAAAAATAAAAGCTCCAAATGTCTCAACAATGTCCAACAGAATCAAGAATAAGCCAAATAACCCATTAACAAAAGATTCTATCTTCATTTTACTTCAGGCAGCTCTCCTACTTTATGTTCTAACAGTTTATTTCTACTTTTATTACAAAGAAAGGAAACAACTAATGAGAGGTCAGCACTAACCATGGTGACAAACACATCGCATTTCCTGTGGCTGCTCTGCAATAAAAGGCCCTTGTGATTTGCCAATTTTATTCTTAATTTGAAGCAGCAGCAATAAAACGATCCATTCACATGAACAGAAACGTTATGCAGCTCTCACATGGTGGAAGGAGAGTGAACAGTGAAGAGTGGGGCTGATATTGATGAGATGAAATTGCACTGGATTACATGTATGTGTCATTTGACTTTTCTTCCCTTGTGTCTGAATCCAGTGCGGGAGTGTTGGGCTCCGCCACTAACAATAAAACCTGCCACACAGACAGAGAGATAATTATTCTCTCAGGTGATGTAATAGCTTCAGTAGCAGTCATGCTTAAACAGAACAATGAGATGAAATTATGTCTCACAGTGTTTTAGCTGGCGTCACATTAGGTCCAAGGAGCAGTCAAATTTAAGGAGAATGTACCTGCTAACTCAGTACCTGTGATGATTATAAATACTGTTAATTAAACATCTGCACCTGCAGATAATAGTTACAGATTTTTACAAGTAATTTTGACAGTATTTATTTATAACTATTTCCCTCCACTTTTCTTAAACTTGTGCTTTCTTGATATGGAGGTTTGCGCATGATTTATTTTATCATGTTACTTCATTTACATTTTTAATTTATTCTTTATTTCCTCACCAGATCATGTGTTAATCATTTCATTCATTGTGCCTGCTCGTCTGTGTGGTCTTACCCTGAAACCATATGGTCTTTCTGGCACGAGTTTGTAACCTACTAACTAAATATTCCAACAGGATGTCCAGTGTTACCATCACAATCGTACTGGAAGATAAACACACAGGAGCCTCAGCTGCTGGTTTAGTAAACAGCTGGTCATTAGTGTTGACTCGAACAACAGGTACAGGAGCATTAAAAAACCCTCCAGGGAGCCACCAGATCACCCATCATCTGCCGTTACCAAGACAACATAATCTCACAAGATGATGGCTACATGATGTTTTTTTTTTTTTTTTTTAATGCACCATGTCATCAGGATGTTTAATATAACGTTACTCTCTGTGCTGTTATAATAGTGTTATTGTGGCAGAGGGTTATTTCAGGTTAATAATGAGCTCCCAACAGTATTATGGAGACCTACAGTAATGGAGCACATCTAAAGGTTTACTGGTGTTTCACATGTGGAGCCATCTGTGTACTTTTGTCATACTGAGACACTAGAGTGCGTGGTCCACCACAGCGCTCCTCTCTTTATCTGTGCGTGAGCTGCAGTAGCTGCAGGGAGGGACATCCTGCATGTTTCTCCCCAGTCAAACTGACAGGTATCACCCAGCAGTATTACCTGTCTCAACAATAATTGCTTTCTCATACGTAACCAGCCAAAGTCACTCTAGGTGACTGTTTTTGGCGAATGTGTTGTACTCTGAGGACAAACCCTCCCCTCACCTCCAGCTTATCTGTTTGCCCTGTCTGTCCATCTGCTCTCACTGCAGCCATTACATTCATGTGTGCCAGGTCCACTCTCAGCCCGTCCCTCTGTGCCGCAGAGCTCAATTAGAGCATCCCTGACACAGAGGCACCGAGGCACAGTGGTATCACCACTTCCACGTTTCCTCCACATGGATGATAAGCGTCCATGACAGTGTTGATCACCACATTGACTATCTGCCACACTGACTGCTGCTTTGTTCAGCTGTCCCGTCACAAAAAGCTCACCAGATAACAAGCTTATTAGTGCATCACCCAGGACTATTGTACCGTATAAAACTACTCTAAAACCTCATCATGTGTATTTATTTCAATACATGACAACTGAATACAGTCATTGAATATACACCGGGTTGGACAGCCAGTTGGATGCCTTTTCTTAATTATTTATTTCTGTGTACTTCTGTTCTCACAGTCCATCAGCATAAGGTTTAAAAGCTATAACAACAGCAGCTATATAAAATGAAAATCAAAAAAAGAGTCTGACTTCACTCAGTGTGATTGCTCCGTCTCTCCTCCTCCCTCCATAGTGCAATGTGAGAGCTTTCTTCTTATGCTGAGTTAGTGTGGTATAATAGATGTTCAGAGCCTGTGGTAGACTGATTGAGTTGGTCTAATGAAAAGCCTTTTCAGTGGGCTGTCATCTGTCAGCCACCATTAGATAGTGCTGTATAAACAACGGCTGACAGCAGAGGAAGGCTTTTTCTGCAAGTGACAGACGGGACATGATTTAAGCAATTCTATAGAAATGAAAATCGATCCCTGATCCCCACAGCAATGCTCTTGTGTGTCCTTGTGTTTTATAAAAAAAATAAAAATAAAAAAAGACAGTTGTAGTCAGTAAACCGTTCTTCTGTTTTTGCTGTGCGTGTTTTTCAGAATGGTACTGACTACGGGTTCCTGGTACGTCAGAACTCTGAACTCTTGCGAGCCCTTGATGAGCTGGAGAAGACTTGCACCACACTGAGGGAGGAGAATGGCCTGCTGGTAAGACTAAAAATAACAGTTTGTGACTGAAGGCTTCCTAGAAAGTAGGGCAGGTGAACAGACATGAAACTGCAACAGCGCTGTTTCAGTTTGGTGCTGAAAGTTTCTCTTTTCACAGTCATTAGTTCACTTTGTATATATACGGCGTGTCGGCCTTTCTCCAAGCATCTCCTGAATGTTCACTTGTCAACACAGGCCGATGATATTAAACCACTAATAAGCCTTCCTGAATAACTGTCGTGTGACTTGGCGTTGCTGTTATAGCATTTGCTGCAGGCGATGTGTGATGATGATGATGATGTTTGTTTGCCGTGTGTTTAGCGGAAGAGCAGCGCCCCAGAGACAGAGGAGAAGGTCAGGCGGCTGAGGAGGAAGAACACAGAGCTGGCTGTTCTTGCAAAGAGGCTTGAAGAGAGAGCTCGAAAACTGCAGGAGGCCAACCTCAGAGTTGGTAAACCCCCCCCCCCCCCACAAATAAAAAACCTCCAACATTTTCACAGCGAACTGCTGAGCCTATTTGCACTTGCACTTGACCCAAATGCTGGGAGTGACTCATTATCAAGCACCACCATCCAAATCACCACATCACCATAATGTTCGGTAATGAGTTGAATAGAATAGTTGAGCATGTGATGAATGGGAGCCTTGTTGAAAAAATACCAGCACCCTATTGAATAATTTAATGCATCACTAGAATAGCTACATGACCTCACTGTTCAGCAGGACGTCCAACTAGTCTCTTATATAAAAGAGATGTAGTAAAGACATGAACAAAGATCAAACACGATGATTGGCAGTTTGAAACATTTACATTCCTCATGAGACGCGTCTTTAACTCAGCATTTTAAAACCTGATGCGATGGCAGCATCGCCAGATGGACATGTCTTATACTGTGGTTGTCTTGTTTAAACGTGGCTTACTAGTTAGGCATCATCTGTTCCTCTGCATAGACCCGAATATCAACCTCTATTTTCCAGCTCAAAGGATTAAAAATCTAATGAGTATACATTTAGTAATGGGCTGGTTAAATCTCTCTCTGTATGCAGCAGCTTGTTAGACCGCTAACAGAAATGGTGGAAGGCTGAGAAGACCAGCAGTTAAAGACAGTGTCTCTATTTGCTGCACTGACAGAATAAAAACACAAAAATTTACAGTAGCATCAGCAAAACATGTAGCTTTAATCCTTGACTACTTTTTAATAGGTGGAAAGGCTTATGCAGCATTTCTGAGCATCCTTTTTATTGACAGCATACACATTTCTCCTAGAAGATCCAAGTCTTCTTAGAAAGTATCAACCTACAAGTCAGATGTGATTTTGTTCTTCATTGGGTTGATGAGTATCTCTTAAACTCGACATCAACACCGTGATGAAATCTAATCCACTACAATTAAATTGTATCGTGGGAGTACTCTAATGAAAAGCTGCGTGATGCACGATGTTTCTCTTTGAAGTCTGAAGTAGTATTTGAAGCACAACAGAGTAGGGATCTTGAAAGGGAAAGAGCCTCCAGCCTCTTAATCTGCCCAAAGTGCCACAGTCATCTAGCAAACAATGCGAGGACCACCTCTCTCTGTCCTGCTGCCGCGGTCACTGGCTGCTGTGTTTTTCGCTGTGCACCTGTTCCCTCCTCACCTCCTGTTGCTCACTGAAAGGACTAAACTACACCATCAGAAAGTAAAATGAATCGAATCAGGAATCTTTTACAGTTAACTTTCTCCACTGCTTGTTGCCAAAATGAGACTTTGCCTCTGAAATCCTCTCTCGTTCTCGCACAGGTGAATTCCCCGTCACTGATGAGACCCGGCTCAGTGGAACAGTACAAGAGGGCGTTTGCCCGTCAGCGAGCTCGCGACCTCGCCCAGCACGCTGATGCACTGTTGTCTAAGGACAAAGAGATCGCTGCCCTACAGCAGGAGTGCAGAGAGCTAGAGGCACGACTGGGAACCACGAAGGTATTTAATGACACAACTCCTCAGGAACTAGTTTGCTCAGGCATGAATTTGGACTTCTTAACAGAAAGACAAGTTCAGACCACTGCTCTTCTGAACATAACTCTGAGCGTCATTGATCTTCCACGTTTTTACTCTTCTTTGCCACAGAACCACATCCCTCCCCCCCTCACTCAGGCTCATAATGCCACAAGCTTGCTCTCTGCTGGACAACATGGGCACTACTCATCCTAACTCCCTGCTAAGCCCGTATTACAAAGGCTGCGTCACTGCTGATGTCTAGATGACAGTGCAGGAATAGGCTGCCTTTCTAAGTGCCTGTTTTTAATTACTGGTCCAGTGACTTAACAGCTGATACTCCTGAATGTGAACATCTGTTGTGTTTAATAATGAAGGGTCTCACAGGGTGAACTGTGCATTGATCTAGTAAGGATGTCTGTGCCGGATCTCTTATTCAGCCTAAACACATTTTCACCGTGTGATAAGAAATGACAGGGAGGGAGGGTAAAGTGCTTCACTCAAGATGAATTTAAATATTAAAACATATTGTCCAGATCAGATTTACAGCTTCACTGGATGTTTTTGTTTTTGGTTTCTTCTGATGCTTTTGGACTGTTTTTTAAATGACAACTGTTTACACTTTATTAAACTCTGTTTTAGTGTTTTGAAGTCATTTCTACATTGTAAAGAAAATATGATTGGATCAATGCACATAATTACAGATGGATTGATTGAGATGACCATTCTTAATAATAATGTAATAATAATTATAAGCTGAGTTGATGACGTCATTATCTTGTGGCTGTCTTTAATGCACGTGTATATGCCGGCGCAGGGCTCCCCGGTTCCATCTGGCAGAGTGGAATTCGAGAGGCTTCTCAGGGAGTCTCAGAGGGAGGTGCTGCGGCTCCAGAGGCAGCTGTCCGTCACGTCGTCCACCCAGCAGCACAACCATAGTCCCGACCCCAGTGGCCCCGAGAAGTGCGGCGAAACTGAGAGGGAGGAGGGGCAGGAGAAGGTAAAGTCGCCCCCTCATGTCAGAGCACAGCTCCAGCTCTACACTGACCTCTGTTGGTCTTAGGGGACTTCAATATGTGAACCTTGTCTGTCCAAACTAAAACTGGTGACATCAAATCAACTGTCATTTTAGACCTCAGATCAAAATAGCAGTGGATCAGCAAATTCTATCATAGTTTCTGTGTAGCGAGGACCTTAATTACTGTAAATAAACAGACAAAAATGATCCAAACATTGTGACCTAAGTCGGTGTAAAAGTGTAGAAACTGTAGGACTTTCTGCTGTGATGATACTTCAGCTTATTTGAGGTTAAAATGTGTGATGACAACAGAGCACAGGTCGTGTGTTTCCACCTGGGAGCATCAAGGGCATCGGTGCTGCGGTGTAGTTGGGATCATACGTTGTTTGGTACTGTAACATTTTTCTAAAACGTAGTGTATGTTTATGTTGGCATGGATGTTGTTGTGCAGTGTTATATAATGGCTTGTCGTTGGACTCGATACTAATCTGCCACAAGCCATAATGAGATGATTCCCTGTCTTGAACTTGGGCCTGATCAAAGATACCAAAGTCAACAGCTCCGATCCTCTGTGCATGTACTACTGATCTCCTCTGTGTTCAGTTCTTAGAAACAGTTCTTCACTGGCGAATAGATAGATCAGTCACTGGCCAAAACGTTTTAAATTGCACATATACAGTGTCATAAACAATATGAATAGGTTACATAATGCAGTATGGGTATTATTTGTATTTTTAACATTTTATTTAGCCACACCAGTGAACATCTGTAATGTTTCACCAGTGTCCTTTTGAGAGGTAGATTTTAAAGGTACAATTTCAGTTTATTAATATGAGTTTACGTCACTTTAAAGGCATACATCTAGTTTCTTTTTATTTCTTTTTTTTTGTAAAATTCTCCACTGCCTGTGAAGTAGAGTAAAATTATCTGCCTGTGAAGCTCAAATGAGAATGCCGATTGTGGTAATCTCTCGTTTGTGGGACGCACACACGCACTCCCAGTGGCACGCGCACACCCAGAAAGGGGCCATGTTGTGTGAACTCTAATCCCCTCTAACAACAGAATGGTACAGTCCAGTAATCCGCTCTCTGTTGCTGTGGCAGCGGTGAGAGGGTTTTGGGTGGTAGGTAAGACTCCAGCCGCACTAAAGACTTTTCTATCTCGCCCTGCTCTGGATAACTAGCAGGCCAAGGGAAGCCTTGACGTTGCCACAGATCACACGAAGGGGGTAGGTCGTCTTCTGAGTTTTGTTATCTCTGTGTGTGTAAATGTCTCATTGGTCCATTGTAGTTCTCCTTGGCTAACCTCATATGTGTCTGCTTGGATGTGAGGCTGGAGCCGTGCAGGACTCAAAGTTGGGACTTAACACTGAAAACTAATCAGTGTCATGACGAACCCGGGGGTGTGAGAGAATTGGCTCAAGGCAGCGGGTGTTGCATTTGTGTCAGATATTAAAACTACCCGCTTATTCTGGAAGATTATTGATATGTTACATGCCCCGTGTTGGTGCTACAGTATGATTCGCAGCTCAGGGGATTTTTCATTTGGGTCTTAATGTTTTTTTAATATTCGTGTCAGTGAATTCTGTTTAAAATCCCCCCCTGGTCTGTGATGAGACTGCCACTTTCTTATAAATTAGATGGGACATGCATGAGGCCTAGTCAAGGGCAGCCGGTCAGAAACCCGGTTTTGTAACAGTCATATATTGGAGCTTCCAGATGCAGAATTTAGATGGACCGACTTAGTGACAGGGTGGTAGAGCGTTTGATTGGTGGACATCGATATGCTCCGTATTAAAAAGAAAATCAACGGCCAGGCCAATCCATTAAGGTGCTTTTAAAAGAAGTGATCCAGTTACCCGTTTCAGTAGTCTGCAGGGATTACACCAATGTGCTTATGGCATTCAGGGCCTGCTGAATGGGATCTGACCCTGCTTTAGTACGCATGGGCCCAGGGTGTACTTGATCCTTTAGCAAACATGGACCACATCGGTGTGAAGTGTCCACAATGGCACCTCACCGTGTGAAGCAGTGTGCAAGTAGAGGCGAGCTTCTAATCAAGGACTTGGTTCTCACAAAAACACATCCGGCGTCACCTGCTGTGGCCTCAGCGTGAGGACAGACTTTAGACATGGCTGCATTCCTCATCAGGGCACTTATTTATAATCATTTATACGACTGTCTTTGCACATCCAACAGGATTTAAGTCTTTACTCATTATTTACAATATCCATTACTGTCATTATTATGTTTTCATACATGCACTGTTAAATGATTTCAGATCAGTTCTGTCACACCCCCTGAGTCTCTTCACTTTTAAAAGACACAGGTTTGGCTGAGAAGCCAACAATCACATTTTGCAGATTCTTATCAAGACTTATCAATCCCGAAATAAACTTTCTCAGTTTACAAAGAGCACATCTGTAGAGATAACACAGGAAAAGACATTTAACTTCTGTGTTTTCAAAGTTTAAACAAAATGCTATAGTTCTCTGTTTTCACATTATGACCTGTTGACCTGTCTGTCATAAAGTCAAAAGACAAACTAAAGCAAGATAAATCAGATATAGTCTGTGAAATCTGACTGAAAATCTGCACTGAAATAAAACATCAAGGGAATAAAGGTGGAGAGAAGAACATTAAATCAAGCTGTAAATGTTCTTCAAGGCCAAAAGTCTTTGAATAATTCAACATTTATACTGTATGTTGGCCTGACTTTGAACTCAGTGCTTGATTGAAGAGTAAACGAGTATAAAGCTCAATATATATTCAATGAATTTCATACATGTTATGAAATAAAAATAAATGTTCAAGTTATATTGACTAATAAATTGGGATTACTTAAGTTATTAATTGTATCCCTCTATTAAATAAAACAGATGTGCATGTCAGGAAATATTATGTGTGTGTGATTTCAGTGCCACAACTCTTCATTTAGCTTCAATCCATAGAATATTAATGCTTGTGAGCTGTAATTGATGTTATATTAATTGCAGTGGTAAGTAATTATGGAGTCAGCACATTTGAACTCAGAGCTGTCCTACCAGCAAATTCCCATTGATTTAATTTGACTCCAGCGGCTTCAGGACCAAAGTGTGTTTGTCTACAGTGTAAGTGTGTTTGAGTGTGTTGAGCTGCTGACTGAGCAGAAATACCATCAAAAACACTCGTGGGTAAAATAAATTTAAAAAAAAACAATCTTCTTCCCAGTCTAATATTTAGCTTTTCAAAGCTGGTGTCAGTATATTAGTATAGAGGCGGATGCTGACCGTAGCATCCTTAGATTTTAGTATTTACTTGCCCAGAAATTCCTCCGCAGGACAGTGACCGGTTGGTTAATGGTTCATTTTTAATGAAAGACCAACACAGACACAGTACATCAGCAAGTCACTGTGCAGTTAACTATAACAGTTCATAGGACATCAGCTTCATGACATTACTCAAAGTCAGGAACCACGCCTCAAAAAACAATCACTGAAAATGTAAACAAAACCGTGACCCCTGGGAAATGTTCCCTTAAAGGAGGGCGTGTTTATTTATTAGAATTGTTCAGATGTTGTTCAGATTAGTTGTGAAAATGACTGTTTTTATCTTAATGGAATTATTGCTTATAATTTCTTATAGATGGTATTTATTTTAATTGATTGACCTTGACTGATTGACTGTGACCAGTTTAGGTCAATGCAAGCTCAAAATTATTCTCAGTATGCTGCATGATTTATCTATTTATCTTATAGTCTTATTAAAATATTTTAATCCTTTTTTTATATTAACAAAACTGTTAACTCCTGAGGCAGAGTGGTCATACTCCAACATGATTCACTCTTTCACCCTCGTCATATACTTGAATTGATAGAAGTCGTTAAAGATAACTGATGTTTAACTGATGTTTGGTAGCAGGATTGGTGATTCCTTCCTTCACTGGTTCAAGTACATGTGATGATCTGAAGGATGATAAATTCTGATAAATAAGAATCGCTGCTCAAACCTGCAATAACAAACCTAGTTGTCAACAACACAATGTGCAAAGTGCTTTCTCATTTTGCTTCCAAATATAAAATCATTTTGCCACTGTACATGACGCATGCTAAATGGACAAAACAAAAATTTGTTTGAGCAATAACATTCGACTCAGCTGACCTTCTCTCTTAATTGTCCACATGAGAATAAAGACTTAAACACCAACTGCACCATGACCAAGTGAAATCTCTAAAACATGCGCAGCTTGTTAGGTCGCACTAAGTTTTGTTAGGTTAGTGTGTTGGCACATAAACCTTTGAAATGATTCGTAATAGCCTAAGCCTTGATCTAATGCTCTCCGTGACAGTCCCTTTATTCCTCATAACATTGTATAAATGAGGCATTATGTAATATTCCCCCTCTGTGCCCATCCGGCAAAACCATGTCAAAATTATATCACACGTCGCCTGAACCCTGATTATATTTGCGATGAACTCATCATTGTGAGCTCTCACATTCCCTTTACACAAAGGATTGCTCTTTTGGGGATTTGACCTGCAGACTGATAGCAGTGTATGACATACCGATTATAGAGTGTTATCACTGTGTTGTTTGGTGACATGAAAATATCTCAACTTGTTGAGAGAGAGAGGTAAACACAGTGACTTTTATTCTAAGTATTCATGTATAATTATTAGATCTCAGTGATGGCATGAAAAAGTTCAGGTGCAAAGAAGGAGTTAAGAAAATGAGAGGACCTGCAAAAGTAGTGAGATAATGATCGACAGGGTGGGGGCTTGGTGGGGTTTGTTCAGATTTGCAAAGGGATCTTATCTTACTAATGTGTCACTCCCACTTTGCTGCACGGCTGCCAGACTGTAGCAACAAACTCCACACACTTAAGCCAGCCCAGTGGATGGGTACGAGGAGCTACAAGCTAATTAAGAATCACAAGAAGACCAACTGGTTTAACCACGACAAGCAGAAGTACAAAGACGGGAACGTTGCCAGGATCACCACCCGGCACGTCTGCATCTGTGGTGGATGTGATGGGATCTTTTAATGGCCACCAAAATCAGCAGAGCACTTGTTTGCGGCCCTTCATTCCTGTGCACTGTTTTTGTACAGGGGCCAATGGAATTAGTGCCTCCTGCTGGCCCTTCGTCACCACTACTAACACCATCTGGTCCCCTATCCAAAAGCTAAACCAGGGATAGCCTCACTTAACTTCACAGACATGCCACCGAATTGGTGCTGAGCGGCCACAACGAGTAATCGGCCCTATGTTGAAGTCTCCTGTGTCCAAACCGTCACGCTCCCTGATGCAAACTGCCACACACGTGAAAGGAAGACAAACCTACATGAAACACCTGCACATTTAACAAACAGGTATTCCACAGACTTTTAACCGTGTGGTGCCAGAGGAAAACTTTCACGTGATTTATATGCTGCTTGTGGAACTAACACAGAGGATAAAACTACAGTATACTGGCGAAATGGATGACTTGTTATATATATATAGTATTAAATAATACCAATGATAATCAGCTGCTTTATGAAATGAAGGGTTGTCTTCTATAGACGCCATTGTGTCTTGTTATTGCCAGGTTGCTTTAAGTGACATCTTAGTTGTAAAAAAGACTGACTGCACGCATCAGCCCAAAAAACTTTTCCAATCATGTCAGAAGTCTTTTTATAATTCATTGGAACTATAGTAGGACTGCATCTCTCTCTGAACCTTCATTCTCTTCAGTCTATCTCGACTCCAGAATGATTCAGTGTTTAGAGGTTGAACTGTTTGGTAGTCTAGCTGTTAACTTCATGGATGAATACCAGATATCGTATGCATCGAAGGGGTGTACGAGCCAAATCCATGTTATATGATTAGAGAAATGTAAAACAGAAAATAAAGAATAAAAAAATACTTAATAGAAAGAAACCGGTGGTCGCAGAATATCCCAGGTTTATTTATTCTATTTATTCTTCATGACTGAAAAAATACAATCAGTTAAAATGAACTATTTTCAACAGAATTCATCTAATTGATGCCAACTGCTCTCAGATTATAGATCATCAATTTGCCAGATTTGTTAAACTGTTTCTTTTCCTGTTGCATCTTTTTATCTTAAAGCCATAGACATTACCAGCTAATGGAAACTTTTTGCAGTCCCACACATGTTGATCTGAAACAACATGTATAAATACGTTTTTTGTGGGGGCGGGGGTTTTGACTGGTTTAATAGTTCCTCTACAAGAAATTGTCAGTACAGGTTATGAATCTCTGCGTGCCCTGCTCTGATGATCCTAGTGGAAACTGTGAAGTCTAGAGTGATGTGTCTTTCAGTGACTAACAATGTAAAGGAAAGGAGAGTGTAAAGGAGAGATCCCCTTTGCAGCACGTGGCTGAGTGCCTTTGATCCTGTTATTGGGTCATGGCCTTGGCTGCACTAGCACAGTTCTACTCTGAGCATAAGTAGGTTTGCTCTAAAATTAGATACTGATTCCCGACTCTTAACCCCTAACCAATGTCAGCCTGTCCCCCACCTGGATCCCAGTTAGACAAATCATACAAGTTGTAAAGATGAATGTGTGGCTGTGATTAGTTTGAAAAAAAAAAAGTAGCCTGCTGTGAAACATTCAAGTCATTACATGCAACCTAATTAGAAAGGACAGGCTTCCTGCTAATGAGTTCCAGTCATGTTGCAGGATAGAGGGATTCCCCCTGGATTATTCATTGATTGTAGTTGGACCACTGGGAAGGAGGCTTGCTGCTAATCCCTCATGCACAGCAGGGGGTGTAACGTTAAGTGTTGCTGTACAGTATGACAATCACATGTTTGCTCCTCTCTCACTAGCTGGTCATGTTTTCAGGATCAGAGCAGGAGCTTGGATGTTCGCTTTTCAAGATGACCTCTGTAAATGTAAAGCGAGTGACTGGATGATTCGTCCTGTCCCTGTCAGGTTGTAGGAGAGACCCCGTGTGTGGCATTAGATGAAGCTCCATCCAGGTGTGAGAGGACTCCCGGAGAGGAGGAGGAGTCGGGGCAGCGAGTGACGCCCTCACCGGGCCTCAGCCCGACCCCCTCCCATCAGGAGGAACACACAGAGGAGCAGCGCCTACAGTTTCTGGTGAGAGCATCCGCTATTATACTTAGCTGACTCTTCTAAATAGCCCTGACATGTAGGGGAACGTTCAGAGCACAACCATGCTGTGCAGATTGTTGCTTAATATTTTTCAACATTATCAAACACAATGTACTAATTGGAGCTGAAGCTTGTTATTGCTGAAATTAGAGGCGGAGGTTTACTAAATGACTCCAGTCCAGTCCTTCATGAGAGTCCTAGACATCTCTCAGCAGCAATAATTACATATACTGTCTTATTGCAGGCGCAGCACCTTGTTATCCACTGTGCATTTGCATGTGAAACTGAAGCTTGAATTTCAGTGCTGTGACTGAGCTGACTGTCACTGAAGGAAAAACTAGGGCCAGATTTGTTATGTAATGCTGGGATTATTTTGATCTTGTCCCTTGGAAACAGAAGAGTAGCACATTGGCCTTGCTGATTCTACAAGTTGGTCTCATGGTTTAAATAGACCACAGTCCCTCTCAGCTCTGTATTCACTTTCTTTGTCAGGATGGAAAATGGAGATTTCAGACATTAATTGATGTTTTTGTTTATTGTGAGAGCATTGACATTGTACATTACATCAGCCTAATTTACAATCCAGGAAGATTTGATTATAGAGTAGCAGCAGTGTCAGTATTGGGTGTATTTAATTCACAAAAACACAGAAAGCTAAATTCACCATCATCTGGGCATCATGTTATTTGAGTCTATTAGGGTCAAATCTGCATGACCTTCACTGCTCAGTCACATTTGGAAAAGCTGGTGGTGCAGTATTGTGCTGATGAACCACAGTATTTTTTTAAGAAGTAATGTGTAACTTTTAAATTGTGTTCTCCAAAATGCACAAACATAGTTTGATGAAATGTGTAGATTCTGTCCTAATTAAAGCTGCAGAGCTATGAGGGGGATGAGCTGATGATTTGTTTGTTGAGAGGATCTTAAACTTGCATGATGGAGTGATTTCTAAGATGAGTTAAATGAGTGGCAGATGTAGGACAAAGTCCATCAGCTGAGTAAACACTGAGCTCCTCCATAGACTAATTTAGCTCAGAAAGCTTGCAGGTTGGTAGTTTTAGCTGCTAGCGATGTTGGTTTGTCCACCACTTTGGTCCAGACTGAAACATCTCAACCATCAGACGGATTTCCATGAAATTTTGTACAAACATTCATGATGCCCAGTGAATGAATTGTAACAACTTCACCACAATACAAATGTATTCCGTCTAATGCTTTAGTTTATACCTAATGATTTTGTGTTTAATTGACAAATGTTAGCATGCTAACACGTTAAACTAAGATATGTCAATATGGCAAACATTCAAACCTAAACCCCTAATTCATGCTAAACATCAGCGTGTTAGCATTGTCATTGAGAGCATGTTAGCACACTGATGTTAGCATTTAGCTCAAGGCGCCACAGCTCCTACTGTAAGTTCAGCCTCACAGACCTGCTAGCATGGCTGTTACACTCCTACTCTAATTTATATCACTGAATTCAGGGATACTGAAAAAATATCACCTGCATGCTCATAACACTATTTATAACCATTTATAACCATGACCCCATAAAAAATAGCTTCTGTGCATTGTTCAGGGTAAAATAAAAAAAAAAAAAACAGGGTTAGAGAAGTGATTGGCAGCTCCGTGTGCATCAAAGGAGACACATGGTCGTCTACACCATCCTCTGGACAACAGATGGATTTAGCTCGTGGGGACAATCCAAACAATCTTTTAAAAAAAAGCATCTGTGTTAAATATCAAATTCCAGTACAACCAGCCATGGTAGTTTAGCTTCACAGCTTCAACTGAACAGCTTTACTTGATTCTGATTACTTTATTCAGGTCTTAAAGCTGTGACACAATCAAGCAAATCAGACCACAGATTGCGGTTTAATTATCATTATTGTCTTGCTGTGTCACGACTGGTGAGAGTACAGTATCTCTTCCAGTCAGCTGCTGGTGGTCTGCAATTAGCCTGTGTGTTCTGTAGCTTCCCCCCACACAGTCAGTCTCAGTGGTAATACTTGATTGAGGTCCTGTGGCCACGCTGAAATAAGCTGATTTCTCCTATGCTGGTCCTGCATGTAAGCTGCATTTAGAATAATTAAAGGATGCTAAGCTTTGTAATACCTCATTGCTGTCATGTCAGAGGTCAATATGGAAACTAAAGCCAATGTTTTCTGCATTGCAGAATGTAAATACAAATAATGTGTCATGATATTACATATTGTTTTTCATGGTTTTGCTCTTGTACAGTGAATCCTGCTCTTTGTTCTGAGAGTTTGTTCTGTTGTAAACCATGTGAATAACTAGATCTAGTTTCAGAGCCGCTTTCAGATTTCAGAACGAGGATTTAGTGTAACTGTTAATGCTTTGTTATCGTTGTCGGTTCAGGAAAGCGAGCTGAGCAAGAAGAGAAAAGAATGTGAAAACCTTGAGCATGAAGTAAAGAAGCGACAGAAGAGATGTCTGGATTTGGTAAGAGATCTTCTTGCTCCAGTGTTTGTGTCTCATGTGCCGTCTGGCCGCCCTCCAGTCTAGTCTAGTTTAAACACTACCGTAGTGGACGTAGTGATGACTTGGGAGACATGGATTTCCTCAGTTTTATTTGTGGTTCTGTAACAGGAGAGCCAGCTTGAGGATGAGCGAGGCAAAAATGAGCAACTAAAGGAGGAGGCAGATCTCCTCAGGAGGAAGGCACAGCTGCTCGACCAGGTCAGTGTCTCCCTGCGCTGTCGAGGTTTTTTTTTGTTTCGTTTTTTTATTTCTAACCTGGATGGCATCTGTCATAGCTGTTAGAATAATATTTATTTTACCCTCCAACATACAGTGATGTTAAAACAGAGCACCACAAACCTTCCTATAAGAGAGTATAAACAACTTCTCAGTTTAATTTAGTTCAGGTGTAATGTGACTGATGCTAATGATGTTATAGAGAGAAAAACGTCCAGTCAAGTAACCTGCTGTTGTTTCTCAAGACTCGGGCTGAGAATGAGGAGCTGAGGGAAGATCTCTCTGAAGTGACCGCTCAACACAATTCAGTTCTCGAGGAGAACCAGAGACTCCGTGCCAAACTGGAGAACCTAGAGCAGGTCCTAAAGGTACAGTCAGGGTCAGATACTCTGTGTATGATATTCAGTTTCACTCCTTACCATTGTCTTCTGATCGTTTTTCTTTCGAACAGCATATGCGAGAGGTCGCCGAGCGAAGGCAGCAGCTGGAATTGGAACATGAGCAGGCACTGGCTATCCTTAAGTTCAAACAGGATGAAATCAAACGGTTACAGCGGGTAAGAACCAGCCACCTCTCACACACTCTCCATGTTTAACGCAGATACTTTTCTTGCTTATATCAAACCTTTATGACCCCTTGGTTGCTTTGAGCCTAAACTGTGGGAAATGGGGCGTCTTGTCCAGCAGGAGGCAACCTTTGGGCACCTATAAAGCACTGAGCTCGCTGTGCTCTGAATTACACTTTTATGAGCAAACAACCAACATTGCACTGACTTTAATGTCTTTTTTATTCATCAGGCTCAGTTATTCGCCAAGAGGGAGCATGAAGGAGTGGTTCAGATGCTGGAGGTGAGTCTGTGTTACACCACTGTGACTACTCATCAAAAAAGACAAATTATGTTCATACCATGCATTGCTTTTATTACCTCACAGTAAAGAGTTACCAAAATAAAACTCAAAGCTTCCAGTGTTTATAAAGTCACACAAAAGAGTGGAACTTACTCCCAACATTAGAGAGGAGGAGTGTTTTTCAGCACTACCCGATTCCTGTCTGACGCCATCAAATCTTATTTATTATTCAAGGTGTTTCTCATGTCCTTTACAACAATAAAAGAGAGGATAATGATTTAATTCTCTCCCTTTCTGAGTAGACAAAAGACATCTCATTTCCACTGAAGCAGCATGGACGTACAGAACAGTGGGCTCTCTTATTCTTATCGAAACACCTGGCAGAGAAGCAGTTGCAGAAAATACTTGTATTTTTTGTCACACTCACGGGCCTGGAAAACCGTTTGAACAGATGGCTTCTCTGCTGTTGTGTGACGTTCATGTATGCTCTCAGTGTGAGTGTAACACACTTTGAATTTAAAATGAGTCCAGACAGTCGATGACAGTTGAAGTCCCGGTCTGTCTCACTGGCTTCTGTTTTTGAGTGGTGAAAAAAAAAAAAATAGAGATCAAAAAAAGATAGAAGAGAGAGAAGAGCCCACAGCGAAAACTCAAAAATGTCATCATCCACACTCGATGACTGTTTTGTTGACTCTTTATGTCTGCTCCTTATTTGACACTGTGCATTTTGTGTTTGTTCCTAAAAGAAATGTGTATTTTATTTTAGGATTTGACTCAGCTTGTGTTGCGGAGGGAGCTGGTAGAGTATAGCTGCTCCTGTTTTAAAAACTGCTCGTTTCCTTCCTCCTGCTTTGTTTCGCTCACTTTCTGTCTCTCTATTTAAACCCAATGCATCACAGGAGAAAGTCTCTTTCCCTCCCAAGAGCCTGAACTTTGTTGCCAAGTCAACACACAGCCTTCCTCAATCTGTTAAAAACATTTTTTTGAAAGATGATAAGGAATATGTGTGTCCCTACAGAGGGCAGGTGTTGGCTGCTGCAGGCCAAGAGACATTCTGCTGATACTGGCTCCTGACAGGGATTCTCTCGTCGACCTGGACTCAGGCTGCTGTGTTTCTACTTTATTAATCTATTTTGTCTTTCCCAGATTCATTTTTTCTCTAGCATGTATTTACTTTTATGTACCTTTTTTGTCCTTTGTGTTATCTTTTTGCTAACCAGAGTACACTGGACTGCATGCAGGTACTGTTAACCTTTAGCCTGCTTTACCTCCTGGGCCAAACTCTGTATCTCTCCTCCAGAAAACCTTCCCTGTCTCCTGTAGATAGAACCACCAAACCCCAGTTCCTTTTATTTAAATCCTCTAAATTGACAGAACATAATCAGGTTTGTGCACCATTTATGTTTTTAGATACTCAAATTGGACTGCAGTAAATAAATGCTTCACGTGGCTATAGAGGCCAATGTGATGCAGATACAGTTTTTTAGGTTACCAAAATATGTATAAATCAGGTCATTCACACTGGGCTTGTTGGCATGTTATTGGGTCTTAAACACTGAAGTATAATTTCTCTTTGCATTAAGCCAACACATGACTGAGTCACTTTGTAAGAGTATTTATTTGAGATTGAAGTGTGATTTCTCACAGTGTTTTAGTACTCACTACCACTTCAGCTCAGTGTAGCCAGATAACAGTTGAGTGCACACTCGGGGGTTTGCGTAGGTGAGAGCTAACAGGAAATGTTGTTCAGACAGTTTCGTGCACAGGCTTTTGTCAGATCAGGCTGCCAGGAAACTCCCACCGCAACCGGAAGTGAAATCAGCCACATATAGAAACTCAGCAGGGCTGAGGCCAACCTCTGTAGTGTTATGGCAAATAACGCTGTTGTCTAGTGACTTTGTTTAAAGTGATTGCAGTGTAAAAGACAACACAGTGTAGCTTCTCACAACCTACCTTACCTTCCAGCTCTGGTTTGTGCTACTGTTTCCCATCTCACCAGAAAACTACCCGCCTTTATTTCCCTCTCATTTTCTTCCCTCTGAGCCCATAATCGCTTGTAACTTGTGTTTGCAGCCTTAACATGTGTTTCAATGACAGTTTATATTGTCTGTCTTGCAGAAACCCAACCTCACATTGTAATACTTTGTTTTATAATACATTCTTTATGCCTTATGTAAAGGCATGGAAAGGGCGGAAATGTATTGACTGTATGTTTGTGTCCGGCCACCAAATTAATCGTGAATGTAAAGTCGGATGTAAAATTTGATGTGACAGACGTGTGTGTTCATTCATTAAAAAAAGGTTTCCATAGTTACCAAGAAAATGTCTGTATAGGGATAAGAGGTTTCTGCATGACACTGACAATTTATAAAGGACGTTACTTTTTCTTCTTCTTACAGGGTTAGATCCCTCCCTTTGTGATTCTATTAAAGGAGAAATTCACCTTAAAACACAGAAGAAATTTAAATTATAGCACTTCATCACACAGTTACCACTGAAATGTATAGCGTGGAAAGGTGGAATTTCCCTCTTATAGTCGTATCACTCTGATGGTTAAAAACTGTGTGTTTTACTGTATATGTGTTCTCCTCATGTGTAGTCAAAAGTGCGAGAGCTGGAGGAGAAATGTCGCAGCCAGAGCGAACAGTTCGGCTTGCTGTCCCAAGAGTTGGAGAAGTTTCGACTGCAGGCCTCAAAGGTGGACCTGGCCGGCTCTAGCATCCTCAACAATCCCAGCCTCTCTGTTCTGACCAATGGGGTGGGCCTGACTACAGAGCGAGGTGAGACACACCGGCATGGACATGTATTCACACACAAAAACACAACTCACACAGCTGAGAGAGAAGCAGGTGATGAGCGCTTTAGGTCACGAGAGACTCCTAACTGAAATTAGATGCAGCTCTGATCAGTCTCTTGTGATAGAAAAGATATTTAACAACCAGGTGAAAGTAATAGATTGCTTTGGTTCATTTCGATATCAGCAGAATGTTAACCAGGGTAATCGAATGAGTTTGTTAAATTGGCAAATACACAGTGTTGTCAACAACCACAGATCTTTGAAGTATCATCATTCACTCGGCTGATGACTCAGAACTAAACAATAAAGTGTCACTTTGAGTCAAACTATCTGCCTTCCTCCATCTTGTTCTAAGATAAACTTCTAGTTAAATCATTATCTAACCATGATTCAGCTTCCATAGTATATATATATACTGTATGTTAGAGTTCTTTGATCCTTTCAGTTCCAAAAGAAATCTTCAAACAATAGCATCAGTCCACTCGTGGATCTTCAAAAGCATCCGAATCCTGTATTAACTGTCCCATCACGGATGCGTCTTTTCAGGTTTTAGTATTTCTCTGTTTTTTTAAAGGGATTTTTTGTATCAGTAAAACAGAATGAGCATAATAGTAGGTGTGTGTCACATCTCAGCTTCTTCTTCTAAGGCTGTGAAGTTAATGCACAGGCATTTTAAATGATGTCAGAGTATCCACTTTAACGCAGCCCCATCCACAGCTGCCATAAAACTAACAGTGCAAATCTAGTCCAAACCTTTCCTACTGTGTGTATCCAACCTCTTTCTCCTACACTGTTCATGTGTTTTAGACTGCACTGGTGGCTCATGGGATATGGTGTCTCTGGGTGAAATAGCCTTCTGGAGTCTCGAGGGAGGTGACACTCTGTCATGCCCCGAGGGTAATGATCCGCTCGGTACGCTCTCCGTCTCTGTTACCCATAATATGTGTTGGGCACCGTCACAAAAGCACGGCATGTTCTGTCATCTCACCCACCGTCACAGTCCAACACTGTAACAGAGTTTGTCTGTAATTCTCACCATCTCATGAGGGTCAGAGAAATGTCTGTGGACCGTGGAACCAGTTAAGCCCCTTAACAGCGCTGGTGTGACACACGTTGCCTCAAGGTAGTGTGACCTCTGACCTCAGACAGATGGAGACGGGATTTTTTCCTCCACTGTTTAATCAGCCAGGTTCAACCTTGAGCCTCCTGCATGTCGACCAGTGACCTCACCCACCTGAATGCTGAAGGATTCAACCAGGTTAACCAGTGAGAGGACTGGAAGTGTCTGTTAAAGTCATGGATTATGTATTATCCTCTTCCTCTCCCTCCCTCCCTCCTGCTAGATGTGGCCGCTGCTCTGCGGATGGGGGCCACCCCCCACGCCGCTGGGCTGTCCAGGGTGGAGCGCTCGCCCGTCACCAAGCACCGAGAGCTGCCCACCATCAGCGTCAGCAAGTCAGGCTCTTCCTCCAGCAAGTCAGAGACCACACACCTCACCCCCAAGTCTGACACCCACCTCAGTCCGCACAAATCAAGCCCAACACATGAGGTACAACCCCAACAATGTATTGTTCATCTGTTGTTTTCACACATTAATTAACATTTGAATGAGGCTGAAAGGCTTTCAGCTGCAGACCCTGAGCGGCTGATGTTGCACATTAATAGAAAGATACCAGTTTGTAACCATGGCTTGAAATGACCTTTTTTAAACTCTAAACCTAAAACTAATATTGCTGCTATATTTGAGAGCTGTCAGAAGCTCGTAATATCTGTCAGACCAAGGTTTCAATGGGTTGGTTAGTGTTAAAGTGCTGGTTGTAGGTTTATGAAAACGCTTAGCCTCTTGATGTTCATCCAGGTTATGTCACTGTGCAGGACCCCTCCTTGCAATATTTCTGCTTTCTTTGTCTCTACATAGACAAGCAGATCGCTCATCAAGATTACCAAGACGGCTATGCACGAGCACATTGATTGTGTGGATTTAATGGATTAAAAAGCCCTCCTTAACCTCTCTGTCATCTCACGCGAGTACAGACTATAGCTAAATACACTACAGCTCCCTCTGCTCATACGCAAGAGACATTATTGATATCTGATGCTTTGATTAAGTATTTTTGCGGTGCCACGTCTCCAAAAAGTCAGTGTGTGGTCTAGCGTGGCAGACAGGTCGGTGGTCTTTCCATCTCGTCACTCGTCTGCCCATAGTTCAATAAAGCTTATATTTAGTGAAATAATCCACTGGCCACTGTGGATTATGAAGGTTATACAGTAGTAGTTGTAAGTGATTATCCTGAAACTAGGTTTTCCCAGGGAGCTATAAATACATTCTCTCCTATTGTATTGTGAGTAGTTGGTACGAATGGAAATCAAACTCCACATCAGGTATCAAAGTGACTCCAGCAGCAACAGTGACTCATGAATATTAATCACCGTATAATAAGAATATTGTATTTTCATGTGAGTAATCATTTATGGCGGCTAATAACTAGCTGTGTATTTACAGTAATACATTTCTGTATTTCTGTCTGCACAGTCAGATATTTCCTCCCACATGTGCTCAAATATAAACTTACAGTCAGACACCATGATTTCCTTTACTGTCATTTCCAAACAGACTTGGCCTTTCAAGATAACAGTTTTCATATGTGTAAAACAGAGTGTACACTCATCTAATTCCAGTTTTAATAGTACTAGTATTCTCTGCTAGAGGTGGGTTTCAGTGTTGAGAAATATGGTATTGGACATTGCCCTTAAGACAATGCCCTCTAGTGTAAGTGGGATAGACAAATATTTAAAAAAAATATATTATATAAAAAATTATCATAAAGTTGAATCGTCACCTCCTTAAAACAGTTAGAGAAACGGTGAACATCATAACTTTCAGGAAGTGAGGAGTTATTGTAGGACTGTTAGCATTAGTTTCAGCTAGGTGTGGCTAATGAACTGGCAACTGGTTTTTAGTTATTAATAGAATGATGCTTGTTTATTCAAGCCATTTCACACAAACAACTCCTCTGCTTCTGCTTTTCATCAAAATAAGATTCCAGGTACATCAACATGTCCCACCAGGAGAATACAACTATTTTCCCCCTTTTATTCCCTTTTGAATGTGTTTTTTCTGACATTAATGAAGGCAGTTTTAGAACGGCCTGCAGGTCCCAGTGATTCACCATCTGTTACTGGTGTTCTCAGGTGGACACTGCCAGTGAAGTAGAGGAGCTCGACATTGACGTGGCCCCGGCACCTTACACGGCGAGCAGAGGAGCCGCGAAGCTTCAGGTTTTCATTGCAAGATATAGGTAAGTATTATACGAAGGCAGAGTCAGCTCACTACCTCAGGTTTGCTAATATGTGACGAAAATAACTTCCTGGTAAATTTACTTTGAACAGTTATAATCCTTATGATGGTCCCAACGACAACCCTGAGGTGGAGCTGCCACTTACTGCTGGAGAATACATCTATGTGTATGGAGACATGGATGATGATGGCTTCTATGAAGGTGAGTCAGGAGGATGATTTATTGTATCTACATGTTCTCGTTCCTGTCTGTACGTGGTATTCAGTATGTCACCGTGGTTCCTTTCAGGTGAGCTGATGGACGGACGGAGAGGGCTGGTCCCCTCTAACTTTGTAGAACGTGTATCGGATGATGACGTCATGAGCACTCACCATCCAGAGACAGGGGACATGTCCCATAACTCCCTGCTAGACAGCAGCCTGCACAGTGCCAGCCACCAGCATCACCTCCACGTAGGCGCCAGCGCCTCAGAAGTGACAGAGGCCTCCGCTGCCTCTGGCCCTGCCTCAGCCCCCTCGGATTCAGCATCGGCCTTGGCTGTCCCAGCCCCCCTCACCAACGGCCTGGACTTGGATTTGGAGGAGGTGGGAGTGGACATTGTGCCTTACCCACGTAAGCTCACCCTCATCAAGCAGCTTGCCAAGAGCATCATCATTGGCTGGGACCCTCCGCTGGTGCCGGCTGGGTGGGGCAATGTGTGGAGCTATAATGTGTACGTGGACCAGGAGCTGCGGTTCAATGTGCCCTTCGGTGCCCAAACCAAAGCAGTGCTGGAGCGGCTGGACATAAACCTCAAGGCCTACCGCGTGTCAGTGCAGAGCCTGACAGAGAAGGGCCTCTCGGACCAGCTGCGCTGCAGCATGCTGGTCGGTCGGGACGTTTGTGTGGCGCCCACGCAGCTGCGCGTGGAGAGGATCACCGCCACCTCTGCCAACCTGACCTGGCTGCCCAGCAATAGTAACTATGTGCACATTGTGTCCTTGAATGAGGAGGAGTGTGAGCTGGTGAAGGCTGGCTGCTACTCGCTGTGCCTCAATAACCTCTTGCCCAGCCTGCAGTACACAGTCAAAGTGGAGGCACGGCCGCACCGCACACCATGGGAGTTACCTGTGGAGCGACGTGAACACAGAAGCACTACAATCACCTTCACCACGCTGATGGCAGGTCAGGATTCAGTATTTTTCTCTGCTGTCAGATCCTGTAAAGGTGTCATTCTAACTGTACACATAGTCTACGGATCATCAATCGATCAGACTATTTTACCTATTCAAAATCAAATCAAGCGTTTAATCTGGATAAAAGTAAGAACATGTTTGGCTCAAATGTTTGATCCAGATCAAGGATTTTCTTTTGGAAATAATAAGTTTGATACTGTAGCTCTGTGAAAATGGCTGATGCCATTAGTTAATTCAGATACACTTTTTTACACTAAACACTTTTTTACCCACAGAGCCGCAGTCTGACGGTACATTGCTGGTATAAGATTTGAGATTCAAACAAGATGTCTGCACCTAAAATAACTGTATACATTAGATACATGTGTTTGTGTTCAGTTTTGCAAAAAATCAATCTTTCTTCTGGAAAACGTGCATTAGCTGCTTTTCAGTGTGCATGTGTGTGTGTGTGTGTGTGTGTGTGTGTGTGTGTGTGTGTGTGTGTGTGTGACATTTTCGATTGTAACCATACGCAGATGTGGCTGTTAGTGAGTGACATTTCAAAAACAGTCCAGCCGGTTGTGACACATAGAGGGGGGTTTGTTGAGGCAGTTAATATCAGGGACTTGTGTGGTAGGCGACCCCTCCCATAGCCCCTCCCGTGGCAGGGTTACCAGCTCTACGTGTCAGCCCCGTGTGTTGTATCTCACACTGCAAATGTAGATGTCTTATATTCAGTAGTGATGATTCTCTTCCTCCTACACAAGGTCATCAGTTTATTCATGAGAGCTGCTGCTGTGAGCTGCTCTGAATCACATTTCCTTCATTAAATAACCAGAGCACATTGGCCCAGAATGCATTGCTTGTAAAAGGGAAAGAAAACAGGCGACTCTTCCTCTGCTACACCAACTGATGAAGTACTGATGACATGAATTAAAGAGAAGTAGAGTTTCCTGATCGTGAAGTATTTTTCTGCCCTGCCCACAGAAAACTGCATCTTTATATAGAATCTCAATTTCATGTAAACAAGGAAGTTTGAATGTGAGGTTTTGGTATTTTGATGAAAACTGTGTCACTGGTGTTTTGTTTTTAGTTTTTAACCCTGATCATCACTTGACGTCAGTTTGTGGTACCATCTTCTGTTCCTCCCACTCAACAGTATTTTTATTTTTCATGAACCAACTTTAGGCCTGTAAGATGTATATTTCTGATCAGTGTCATATTAGATGTAAGTTGTATTTCTCTAAATGATCATTCAAATTTGCTTAAGTTTCATGCCCACACTCTGGGAACCCAGGTATATGGTCTCTAAGTTTCTTACTGTCCCTGTAGAGTTTTAGACGGCAACTTTCTTGGTAAACCATGTTCCCTTTGTGATCATTATTTCTTATCCCAAGCAATGTATTTTCAATATGAGCATTTCATTTGATCGTGTAAATATCTATAATCATGTTTCTCCATCTTCTGCTTGCCACTGGCTGTGGTGTGATGCTTCTCCTCCCTGCAGGTCCCCCTGATGCTCCTCTGGATGTGCAGCTGGAGCACGGCCCCTCTCCGGGGATCGCCCTCATCAGCTGGCTGCCGGTCACTATAGATGCTGCCGGGACCTCCAATGGAGTGCGTGTCACTGGATACACGATATACGCTGATAAGAAAAAGGTAAGACCTTCCAAAGCCTTTTGTTTAAAATCACTTTCAGCCAATCGCTGCGCTGCTGTTGGTATTCAGGACGTATCTGTGACTTTTTTTAAGCTGGTGCTCAGTTTTATAACGTCACCGTGACATGTACCTGTCGCTCTCCTGTCCAAGGTGCTGGAGGTGTCTTCCCCAACAGCCGGCAGCGCTCTGCTGGGCCCCTCTCAGATCCAGTCCCTGCAGGCAGCTCAGGAGCTCACTGTCCGCACCATGTCCGCCCATGGGGAGTCCTGTGACTCTTTGCCAGTCAATGTGCCCTCCAAGCTGGGTGCCATCATGGCAGGCCCAGCTATCACCGCCCCAGTTGTGCCACCCCCCCTACCCTGCAGCCCAATAGGTCCCAGTAACATGCCCTCACCGCCGTCCTACATAAACTCTGCTGCCAAAGTCTCCATGCTGCCCAGCACTTTGCCACCAGACACACACAACACTGGCCTCACAGTGGAGGCTGCTGCCAACCCTCCTCATGCTCTCCACTCAGAAGGTCTTCTCTCATCTGCCTCATATGTGAAGGCCTGGGCCAACCCCTCATCTGCTGCTGCCTTGGCTGTGTGTGAGGCCACATTACCAGGTGCCCCCACCATCACTCCAATGGTAATCATCCTCCTATATATGAGACGCAACGTTTTTATTTCTCTGGAGTGACAAACGTAATTAAACAGCACTACACTGACTCTCTCTCATCCTCAGGTTGATGTGACCTCCCCCACCGCTTCAGCACCCCAACCATCTCCAGTAGCAGCACCTGCACCGGCACCGGCAGCAGCAGCAGCAGCAGCAGCAGTGTCGGAGCCCCACAGAGACACCGACAGCCCTGGAACGATACGTCCTTTCCCATCCATCACAGACTTCATCGAGGACCCCAGTGCCAAGCTCGGGACCCCTGAGCGCATCCCTACCCCGCCCAAAGCCCCGATCACAGACCTCCTTAACCCTCAGGAAACTAACCTCCACCGACCCCCCAGCACCTCCCCGCTGGAGTCAGAGGTAGAGGAGGAGCGAGAGAATACCCGCCTGGTGTCCATCGAAGAGTTCTTGAGACAGGACCAGGAGCCGGCGTACTGCGGGAGGCAGCAGGTCAGCCTGACGCTCACCTGCTCTTTGAAACAGTCGACTCTTCACCACAAAAATAAACGGAGTATGTTCTGTAGCTATAGCTGAGTCTGATCACGACTGAGAGCTGGTCTGACGGGGGTGGGGGGGTGGCGTGGGGGGGGGGTGGTTAAGCTTCGTATTATATAACAAATAGATGTAGTCCACATATAAAGTGGCTGACGTCCTCTGGAGCCTTGAATAGTCTCGGTTATGTTGAGCTATTTGAGCAGCTATTGACCTGAATGTCATAATGTCCATCAGCTGTCAGATATAAAGGCAGAGAGCATTAAAGCACTGCTCCACTGATTTAGCAAGTTATCAGATTTTGAACAGCCTCAAAAGGCCTCATACAACTTACTACAGCAACTCAAATCGATGGAGCTCCCCTTTAAGTTATACTTTTTTAGATGGTAAGTATTTTTTGCTTGTAAAGCAACCTGTCACATTTTTTCTAATAAATTAATAGAGATGCTTTGGAAGTTTTTAGCATGTGCAGCTTGATATTCTGCTCATATTTTCCAGAAGTCTAAAGCATGGAAAGTAAATACGTTTGATTCATATTTCTGTCAAAGGAGCTGTTTCTCAAAAGCTAAATCACGTATCTCTAATCATTTCTGTATTTGTATTTTTTATTTTCAGGTGTACATTTGAATCTACATCATGTCACTATCGAACCTACAGATTTATTGTTTTAGTCAGACAATGGCAATAATAAGTAAGAATTTAAAAAAGATAAATTCACACCGGATGGTTTGATTCACGGTGTTTGCTGACGTTTTCACAGAGTTATGGCAGAGGGCTTGTGGAGCCTCCCAGTGACTACCATGCAGACAACAGCCGATCAGACCTGTCTGACATCCTGGAGGAGGAGGAGGAGGACCTCTACTCCGACCACCTCGGAGAAGTCCAGGCCAGGGGATACAGAGTTGGAGCTAACAGGGTAAAGGAAGGAGTTGCTCTGTATGTTGTGCTTTTTGAATGAAATGTGCTTCTTTCAGTTGCATACTTCAGTTTCCACTTCGTGGCCTTTTATATTTTCCTGAGGGTGTTTGATTGTTTTTCTTTTTTCTTTTTCTTTCTTTTCTCTTTCCTTTGCCTGGCCGGGTTCTCGTCACTTTTGTCTGCGCTTCCCTTATTTTTACTGAACAATGTGATTTTCCATCCCACCCTCACCAACCCACTCTTGCTTGCTTTGACCTGTGGCCCTTGTAGTCATGCAAGATGGAGCCTCCAGACAGTGATGAGGAGGTTCTTGAGCGGATCCTTAAGTTGCCCCCTCAGGTCTACCACAGCAAGCAGCTGTTCAGCATCCCCGAGGTGACGGAGGAGGAAGACAGCAGTCAAGAAGAGCCTTTAAGCCACCGCAGGCCCAGGCATAGCCACCTTCACCCCAGAGACTCAGAGCGCCTCCATCATGTCCCCCAGCATCACCAACATCACTCCAACCCCAACCCACACCCACACGTTCCCCAGCACCATCACCACTTCAACAGGGATCCCAGATCCCTAACCAAAGAGCCTTTACCCAGACACGGACCCTTGCAGGTCAAGCCTAAGACGCAGCACAGGGTGCACTACGCAGACACAGTGGACACCATCAGTTATCCTGAAGAAGACATGAGTTTATATGAGGGTCCCAGCAGCAGGCGGGTCTCAGCCCGCTGTCCTCCCCAGCCGACCCCCAACAGAGGAGACAGAGTACTGCTCAGAGGGCTAGGGGACCGCCTTAGGAGGGAGGCCATGCTGAGGAGTCAGATGGCTGTCGCCGCGGCAGCCAGCCTCAGCCATGGCCCTACCCCGCCAAGACCCTACCCGGTCAGCAAAACAGTACGGACTCTGAGGGCACCTGTTGGTCGTGGGGTGGAGATCGACGTGGAGTACGGCACAGATGATAACGAGGAGCCCGCGGAGTACAGTCCTGGGGAGGTGGTGGTGGAGCAGATGAGCTCTGAGTGGTGGGTGGAGGGGGCTCAGACGGAGCACTGCAGGCCTCCTCACCGCCGAGGCCTAAAGGTCGATCCAGTGGTAAACGTCGCTGCAGGCCAGCCGCAATGGGTGTGTTGTCCCAGCCCGCTCCTCTCCCCTGTAGCAGTGTGGATCTAACCTTTAGCGGAGGTCACCTCACTCCACCGCTCAGTAGACAGCAACTTACTTCTCCATCATTATCCCTGCAGCGTACAGAGGGAGCAAACAACCGACAGTTTATATCGAGTTTTGGCATGTGGCTGCCAGACATTTAAACCAGGTCCTCATTCACTATCTGGCTTCAGACTTCTAATCTTTATAATTCAGCTACAGCTGAAACATATAACTGAATCTGTTCTCCCTCTGTGTGACTGCACTCACTCCCGTCTGTGTCACGTCCTCCTGCACCTCAGAAACCACTCAGCTCTTGTCTTAACTATCCTGCATTAGCCGACAGTGTATGTGCTTTCACGTGTGTCTGCTAAGACTACCACAGCGCAAAGAAGGAACATGCTTATGTTGAAACGGCAGAATGTGTGAAACCCTGGGTTTTTGTATTTGATGAGGTTTCAGTCTCTATTGCAATAAGTAAGCCCTTAGTGGATTATCAATACACGCAGCGTAGATTGTGAAGTATTGTGTGTAGTATGTAAAAATGAACAGCTACAGCTGCTGTTCATTTTTTCTGAATCCCTGAGGTGTCCTCTCCTCCCCAGCAGTAATTGCATTTCTTTGTTGGACATTTTTCTTATTGTCCTGTTTGTTTTTCTGTCCGTTGAGCAGGAGCCCGGCCAAATCCCTCCTGCTGAGGCAGGTCCATCGTGGGGAGGCCAGGCTGAGCTCTCTTCTAAACCAGTGTGCTTGCAGGCCAGGCAACTCAAAGGTCAGAGACTTTTTCCTCTTTTGTCTTCCTGTTTCCTCCGTCTCATGTTTGTTTCCCTCCCTTAAGTCAATTATACAGTGGAAATGTAAGAGGCGATGCTGACACACCTGTGCTTTCTGTTGGCAAGCCTCCCCCTCTCTCACATGATGGCAGTCAGATTAGCACCTTGTGTAGGGAGAGGGGGGGGGGGGGGGGGGGAGGGGGGGGGGGGGGGGGGGGGGGGGGGGGTCAGAGAGGAGGAGGCGCTGTAGCTGCAGTGGAGAAGTGGGAGAGAGCCTGCTAAGCTGAGAACCGGCTTAACCCAAAGTGGCTTGTCATGACAGGAGGAAGTGACAGACATTAAAATAGTAACCTCAATTAGCAAGCAAAGAAAGAGACGCACAAGCCCCTCTCTTTCTCTTCCTCCCCCCACATCTCACCCTCTCTCACCTCTTCTCTGCTCATGTCTTGACTACACACTCACTTAATAAACCTTTCTGGCATGTACAGTTGACTACACACACAAATGCATAAGTGTACACGTGCGCACGAATAGAGGAAGAGAGCAGGGAGAAGTGCTATCATATCTACTAGAGAATCATTGAGGATGTGAAAGTGTGCAAGTTGCCTGCCCGTGACTCTTGCCACAGATGGGCTGATTCTCCATAATGAGATAGAGAATGCGTCTCTTCAGCGCAGCTTAAAGTCTCACTACAGCTCTTCAAATTTGTCTCGCTGTCAAACAGGCTACAGTTGTAATGTCTTTAATCACACTGGTGTCATGCCTCGTGTATGCTCTCCTGCTGCGAGCCAAATGTGAAGGTTGCTTTGCCTTATCTGTGACACGGACTGTCTCAAAATCACCTCTGATCATATTAGTATTCTTTTTTATGTTAGATTAGAGAGTGGGTCACTCTGTTTCCCATGTTGCTCGGTTGCTGCAGATCATGAACGAGTGCACGTTTGTCGAACGGCTCACACAGCTTAGGATCAGTGGTTTAGCTTGATTACCTCTTTTAAGGACATGCCTGTGCTGGGCAAATACTGTTCGTAGCAGCGCTACAGTTGGTGGGCGGTGGGGGGAGGGGCAAGCGGGTTCACTTTTTGCAGAACTAATTGCATGCATAGCTTCTTTGCAAAGATCTGTTACATTGAAAGTAATACTGAACTGCGTTGAAACCATATTTAAAAAAAAGTTTACAAAGCACACAACATAAAAGCACAAGAATAACCAGCAAGTACAGGAAATAATTTACATGACAACAAAAGATTATGTAGAATAATGAATGAATCAGCTGCAACAACCAGTTATTTTCATTACCAACTGCAGATTATGTTCTTGATTATTCAATTGTTTTGTCCATAAAATGTCAAGATAGTTCTATTTTGTTCAAAATGCAATATGATATCAATATAAATTATATTAATATAAATATATATCAATATAATATCAAAATGAAAGTTTACTATTGTACAACAAAGACATGCGTCAAATCATCACATCTGAGAAACTACAACTTTTCTTAAAGAAATTGACTAAAATGATTGTTTATCAAAATAGTTGCTGATTTATTTTCTGCTGATTAATTAATTAAATCAGATTAATTCAGTATTTCTCTAAAGAATCAAGTTCAACTTTTAAGAAGTAAGTGGTTGAGTGTGGAGGTCAAGTGTTCTCAACATAACACTTCACTCATCAAAAGAAACGTGTGTGAACACTCAGCTGAACGCTGTAGGCATCTTTTAATTATCTCTGTGTGTGTGTGTGTGTGTGTGTGTGTGTGTGTGTGTGTGTGTGTGTGTGTGTGTGTGTGTGTGTGTGTGTGTGTGTGTGCGTGCGTGCGCAGGTGGTGTTGATTCACCAAAGATGAAAGGAGACAGTGACATACGCATCTTTGTGGCCCTCTTCCCTTATGATCCCATCACCATGTCGCCCAATCCTGACGCTGCTGAGGAGGAGCTGCCCTTCACTGAAGGACAGATCATCAAAGTATGTCCTTCACTGCTCAGACACACTGACAGGCATGCAGGTTTTCCATTCATAGCACCTTGATAAGCTCACATTAACAGGAAGACCACGGCCTGCCAAAGGTTAAATATGCGTCCTGCAGAGAGACATTAAATGAATGTAATGGTCACCGTGGAGCTTTTCTGTACCTTTTACCAATGTTTGAAGCCCGCGAGGCTTTCATTCAGTAGTTCCACAGAGCCGGCAATGTGTTACTCTCCTCTCCTCAGGTTTACGGAGATAAAGACGCAGACGGGTTTTACCAGGGGGAGTCGGGTGGTCGTCTGGGCTACGTGCCATGTAACATGGTGTCTGAGATTCAGGTGGAGGATGAGGAGACCCGGCAGCAGCTGCTGCAGCAGGGCTTCTTGTCCACAGCGGCCTCCATGGAGAAGATAGGTATGTGTCAGTTATACTGTCTACTTACGTTGTTTGCTGTTATATATTAAACGTGTTACACTTGAAAATGAGTGTATTTGGATGTTCTTTACCACGCTGTAGGTGCAAATTTTAATGTCTTATTCATAATATCACCGCTGTTCATGTTTAAGTGGTAAGTGAAAATAGCAGCACGAGTGTAGCAGGATCCACTGCTGTGAATTATGGACCTAAATGTCAGACACGTTGATATATTTTTTGCCTGCAGTCCATTGGAGGAAATCCTTCAAAGAAAATTGAAAGCTTCTTTCCGGAAAAGAGGAGGTGAAGTAAAAACCCCCTCTTGTCTGTGACCAATTGGCCCAGCAGGGGGCTGAAAGACTGGTCTCAGATCAGACTTGATTTCAGTTTAACTAATTAAAATGGATCCAAAACTGTGGCATTGTTTTGTATGTTTTTATGGTTTCCTGTTGACTGTTTTGCTATTAAGAAAATCAAAACCATCTCCGTATTCTCAGTCACTGACTGTGTTTTCATGCAGGTGTCTAAAGAATAAACTTAAGTCAAAGTGTTTGCCTGTGGTGCGTGGTAGCGAGCCACCCAGTAAAATCCAGCAGACACTTTGCTTCTGTTTCCCGCTCTCTACCCAGAGCGGTGTTTGCAGATGGTTTAACCTTTTCACTTCCACTTGTTCTCACTGCCGTGTCTGCTGCTCGCCGGTTGTCATTTTTAAATTGCTCTTCACTTGGCTTTTCATTGTCTACTTTGTCTGGTCTGCTTCTCTCAAAAGTTACACCTCTGTGTTTCTTTTTGGTTTCATTTTATTTTATTTATTTTTTTGGTTTTCCTTTCTAAAATTCCATAAAGGCACTCGCACACACGCACAGCTTCCACGTCGCCCTGTTCCACCGCCGAAACCGAGACGATCCAAGAAAGGTGTGTCTCGCTGCAGATTGCGGCTTCCCACCTCCCTCCTTTCTTCTCCTCTCTGGTTTTCTGGTTTGCTTCTCTTTCTGTCTCTTTCACTTTAGCTTTTGCTCTTTCAGTTGCTGCTTTTCACTCAGCGAAGGGTGGGGGATTTTTAGGTCAGCTGCTGTAGTCATGAAATTAGCTTCTCAGCAGTATGGTCAATCATTACCAGTAGAATAGGCCTCCCTCTACAGTAGCTTCATACTCTGTCAGAAAAGCTTAGTGTTACTCTTACTGTCACAGTGTAGATAGGTGTTTCAGAGTAACTTCATCTTTCCACAGGTTAACTTGTTATGATTTCATTTTTGTCAGTAACACAACGGCTTCACAACTGTTAAACACGAGTACTGAGCCACTCTGTTTCAGCTTCCATTGGATCTTCATGTAATACACCGCAGACGCAGCAGCAGAATGTGGCAGCGTCTCTTATTAAATGATAATCTCACAGAAAGTCATTTTGCCAGTCTTCTGCTCCTCTGTCCTAAATGCATTACATGATCCCCTAAACCTGAGAGTCACTTATTGAAGCATCTGTCTCCTCTGATCTCCATCTGTGACTTTACGTACTCCAGTGTGATGCCTGACACGAACTGTGTCTTCAGACTTTTTGAGCTCTAATTTGTGCATGCGATCGTTCTGCGTTGTGCTCACGCTCTTGTCCCTCGCCTCGTCTCTTCCAGTGGAGTCTGCAGCACTCTGGGAGGAGAGCGTAGACTCCTCCGGCCAAGGTTTGTGGTTAACCCTTTGAACCTTCTGCCTCTCTGTTTGCTCCTGCATGATCAATGTCCACCGGAGGCCAGCATGTGTTTACTTGATATTTTATGTATGAAAGTGCCATTTTGTGAAATCTGTTGTTTTTTTTTTTAAATGGTTAGAACCATGAGGACTGTAACATCAGGACTCACCTTCATCCACCCTCAGTAGGGACTGTTTGATTGGTTCGGGGTACACTGAAGAGTTTGGACCTTTTTAATGATCCTCAGCAAAGGAAAGAATATTAAAAATGCACCTTCATCAGGATGGAAATGATTAAGATAAAGGAACATGGTTAGAATGGTTGTTCTGAGAGAAGCATCAATTCAAGTACCAATGTCTTATGGTCTTAAACTCTTGGTTAACCCCCAGCTCTAAATGTCAAGCGGTCCCTTCTTCTAACTCCTCTTTTCATTTCACAGTTCAAGTGGCATCATTTAATCATCAAATATTTTCATGTCTTCATTTTCACTAATGTGAGGGAAATAAAAAAGCCTATCTCTCTCTGCTAACCTCCTGTTTCTTTATTTTGACGTGTTTGACTGCAGTGCTGTGACTCTTCCTCAGCTTAGCATGACGCTGAGTGAGTCGGACATGCAGACACAATGAGCCGCATGCTGATGAGCTGGCTGGGACTGCAGAGACGTCTCACGCCTCTAATTATCAAGATGTCGGGCTGAATTGTTTCTTATTGTTCTTCTCTGTTTGACTGACAGATCCCAGCCAGGCAGCTGCTGCTGCAGCGACTGCGGCTGCTGCGGCGGCCGCTGCGGCTGCGGCACCTGCAGGTAACCCCGCCCCAGGAGCTCGCAGGATGGTCGCCATCTTTGATTATGACCCACGAGAGAGCTCCCCCAACACTGACATAGAGGTCAGAAGCCAAGTGTTTTATTCAAGAGAAGGCGCTGAATGTGTAGCAGCAGTTGTTTCATTATCTGTCCTGTTTGTTGTGGCTGTGTTCAGGCTGAGCTGACCTTCAGTGCAGGAGACATCATACATGTGTTTGGTGACATGGACGAAGATGGCTTCTTCTACGTAAGTGTCCACACGCCTCAGGAATCTTTTTTTAGTCGTTGTAAATCTGTTGCTCTTCACTTCCTAAAAATCCACTTACTCTTGTGTTTATTCTGAAATCATTTGCCGCTGAAAAATGTAAAACATAAATTCCGTTGTAAGAGCAGAAAACAATTCAACACAAGATGAGATCAAACTTTACTGTGTCCTCCATCACAGCAACACAACAGACTAAGGTGAAAACAGACATAGAATCAGTAAATTAGAGTGATGGCATTAAAATGATATACAATATCTACATTATCTAAACAAACTGTAAATCTAGCAGTGCCACTCTGTGGTGTGTGCACTATTTATAATATAAGTATAGGTATGTAGGTATTAGTATGAAGAACATATGCAATATGCATGATAATATATAATATAATATATTAAGAAGCAGCATGAAATACACACACTGTACTGTAATAATACAATATATGAAATATATATATAGATATGTGATAGAATATAATGTAAATACAAAATTATAATTATAAAGTTGTCATACCGTTTTATTATGTAGTTGATTGATTGATTGAAACACACCATTAAAAACTTACATGTGCAACATACAATAGTGCAAATGAGCAGGCAGTAGCAGATAGGTTAAATAAATAAATAAATACCAGAGAGCAAATCTAATAAAATAACAAGATGAGTAACAAGCGTTCCCTGGTGCATCATGTTGTGTTCAATGTCTGTAGGGAATAAAAGACTTCTTATATGTGCTCCGGCTGGCCCTTGGGGCCCTGAATCGACGTCCAGACGGAAGCAGTTCAAACAACCCTAACCCTAACCCAAATACAGTTTATAGATAATTCAGACGATGTCTTCAGTTGAGTTACAGCCTTGTGTTTGTATCTGATGTATGTGTCGTATCTTCCAGGGAGACTTGAATGGACACAGAGGCTTAGTGCCCTCCAACTTCCTGCAGGCGTTACCAGAGGAAGCTCCAGCAGAACTTGTCTCCGCTCCGCCTCCACCAGAACCCAAGAAGGAATCACAGGTAGCTCTGCGTTTCCGTCTGTGTAGCAGGCAACATTATGCGTCATGTTCACAAATCGTTGACATCAAAAAGTTTCTTCTTTTCTGACTTATTTATTTTTCATTACTTGTATTTCCAGTCTGCATCCTGTCGTTTTTGTTCTGTTTCTTTAATTCTGTCCTGTCACATTTCTTCTGCCCCACTGTCTCCTGCATGGCCCTGTGCAGAAGCAGAAACGAACTGTACACTTTGAGACTTGATCGTAAGTGTTTTCAGACAGAGCTGTAGCCGCTCAGTGATCAACACTAGTGTCCCCTGTTCATGTCCACTTCCTGTAACTGTAGCTCTACACTGCTCCTCTGTGTAGGATCATACACCCGCCTCTGGATTTAGTTTATTGAGACACAGGTGAAAAAGTTGAGAGAGCCTCCTCCTCTGTGTGTGTGTCGTAGTGTTTCCCTTTTGTAATATCATTTAAGACATAACCAATCTTTAGTTGTTGTTTAATAAAAAACACTTATATTTCTCCTGAAGGATCCTGGGACGTCGTCTACAGAGCCACAACATCCCCAACGCTCAGCAACAGAAGAATCTTTGCACGCCCGAACAGAACCTCCTCTCCCTGACCCAACAGAGCACACACACCTAGCACCCAAACTGGCACCCACTGCAAGCCCCGCATCAGCCCTGGACCCTGCTCCGGGTCCAGCTGTTTCTCCAGCTGCAGTGGAGGCCTGCGGCTCCCCTCCAGCCCCCCTCCCAGCAGACAGCCCCACAAAGACAGACTGCTCTGCACAAGGCAAGAAGAAGAAAGGCTTTTTCTCCAAAGGCAAGAAGCTGTTCAAAAAGCTGGGATCCAGCAAGAAAGAGTGAGAGTCGGGACTTCTGCCTCAGGATCCTGGCGTCACATTGAAAGCACTTTTTCTATCACTGTTAGTCTCAGTTGGTAGTTGGTGCAGTTAGTGTTTATGAGATCTAATACCTGATGAGTTAACTGTTAGTAATTATACATTTGCCTTAGAGCACTGCTAGACCAGCTGTTAAATATAGTACTCTCAAATATCAACATTCAGCTTACGGCATGTAGAGGTGCATGTTGACATGTGCAAACTCACACATATACTCTCTGAATACTTCCTGATTATCTAAGATTTCCCACTCATTAGAGGCTTCAGTGCTTGATCAGATTTATGTAGAACAGTCTGGTACAAAATGATGCTGAACAGCAGCTCCAGACTTCAGCCCAACTCAGACACAGCTAATTAAGTATTAGCTTTAATGCTCATGTACTGGTGCCACTTTATTTATCTGAAGCAAACGAATAGAAGCTGCAGTCTATCTCTTCTGTGTCACTATAAAAAAAAATGCACTATCCATCCTGAATGGATGAATTTTAAATATGTCTGCGAGTCCCTTATATGTGTTTATTGTCTTTAAGAGTATTTATACAGTACTTTGTACAGAACATGTTATTTATTTGTATCAGACTCTTGCCCTCGTCACCACCACATTGCATGATGGGACATCAGGGTCATACGAAGCTGTCGGAGACAGTGATGATCCACTTTGATATGTGTAGTTTAGATTTCATTTGGGGTCATGACTGTTAGTTGAAGTGGAACATAGTGTTAAATGTAAAGAATGTGGAGGTGTGTGTGTGTGTGTGTGTGTGCGCGTGTGTGCGTGCGTGTGTGTGTGCGTGTGTGTGTGCGTGCGTGCGTGTGTGTGTGCGTGCGTGCGTGTGTGTGTGCGTGCGTGCGTGCGTGCGTGTGTGTGTGGATGAGGCTGCCCTGTCCACTGGTGAGACTGAAAACAGACGATGCCTTTCTCAGACAACTCTCGGTGTTTGTGACCTCAGTCACAGCTGGCCTAAATGTTGCATACTATATATTTTGTGTGTGCGCGCGTGTGCTTGTGTGTGTGTGTGTGTGAGTGAGAGAGACAGAGAGAGACCTGTAGTGTTTGTAATATGATGTAGTATCAGGTGATAGGGAGGCTGCTCTGTTAGCTTAAAGGGCTACGAACGATTAATCAGTTAATCTTTTCAGTCAATAAAACACAGTGACAAATGTTTGACAGATTTGCTTAAACAATTAACATATAATAATAATATCTAAAGAGTTGTGCATTAATTCTCTCCTGACTGACTAATCCGGGGCTTTTCAAAGTCGGACACTGTGGTTTGCCATAGACAACTGCCCCACTAACAGCCCCACCCTGCCCTGAAGATGAAAACAGTTTTTAATCTGTTTGTTCACAGGACAAATATCTGTGGACGACTGGGCAGAGGAGAGAGTGGATGAGACTGAGCCTTAATACTGTCAAATCAATAATGAAAAAATATATCGGCATGTCAGCAAATAAAGCAACATGAAAAAAAGTTCATATTAATAGATTTAGTGACTCTTGTTTCTAGTCTTTGTCTTACTTCTGTTTGGGGTTAACCATGCTGTAAGTTTTACAGATGTTATAATTGGATGGGAGAGAGACAAAAAAAAACCGCCCCCATCACTCACCCACATGTTGCCATGAAGTCTGTTATTCAGCTGCGGGCAACAGCTTGACACCGTTTGATCACCTCTGGACTAATTGATTAACCGACTAATCATTGCTGCTCCAGCTGATTTATCCTCTGAGACTCTACAGGCCTGATGCTAGAGTTAGCAGTTAGCAGCCTGATGCTAAACACGCAGTTCTCCCTCTGGTTTGAACGCAGTGACACTGTATTTTAAAGGGAGCAGTTTTCAGCTGTACTGTGACAGACTGCAATAAGTTGTTTTTGTATGTCTTTTCTTTTGCCTCCACGTTGGGAGTGTAACGACGCTCAGCCTGTGGTGTGTGAATACTGGGTCAGACAGGTGAAAACAGTGCAGTGACACCTTCATCAGCCCGTGCAGTGTAGTGGTGATTCCTTCTGTGTTAGCATCCTGACATTATAGACTGTTTTAGTATAAAACCCCTCTAGCAATATAGCGTATTGTGCACTGCAGCACTAGAACAATAGAACCATGCAGTATCTCTGAATGCTTTGTGACGGCTTTACTTCAGTGCAGGTGTAGTAAATATATCAGCGTGGATGTGAATGTGTGGACCAGGCCTTAGTATTCACGTGCAGTGACTGTTCACTCAGCCTGGTTGGGTCTCTTCTCTTCTCCGCGTCGACATAGGGCTGTTGGGTAACTTCTCAGGTTTTTACTCGTAGTTTCTTATTCATGCTGAGCCACCTGTTGTTGACTCCGGCTGTCGAAAACTGCAGAATATGCCAAAATCTTAGGTGCTTTGCCTGTTACCATAGTGATGAGAGACCAAGCATCCAGCAGCACGAGGATGAGTCGGGTGGTGGGGAGTTGAAGCGTTGATCGGACCTGATTTCATCCGTGCTGCTGAAGTTGCCCACGCATGGGTAGATGGAGTCACAGCTGATGACACAAGTTGGAGGCAGTTTATTATTTTTTTGTCTGTAATGTCATGAATGTTTTAATTGTTTGTCAGTGTTACATGACGGGAGCGTGATGATGCCAAGAATAAAAGGCAGATCGACACAGACACTTTAGATGTGACGGAGCCGGGAAAGAGGCAAGACTGAGGCTGTACTGTACGTTCTGTTTTTGTCTCTTTTATGTTGTTCTCTTTTTGTTCTAAAGGGGGAGTGGATGCTCAAAAGTTGCCGAAAATGTACAGCGAATATTTATACTGATCTTGTATTTGACGGCCTTTAATGCACAAGTATTTCTCTACCTGCTGTGTAGTGAGTAGGCGGCGCCACTGTTGACTGAATAGGACCTAGACCCATGTAGGTAGTGTTTTAGCTCAGCTGATCTTATTTAGCCTTACGAGAAGACCTTGTTTAGTCTTAATATGTTGTTTACAGGATGTTTATTGACTGCATGCATACCAATGTTATACCCATGTTCGGCCTTATTTATGTTACTGTCATATTTCTGTTTTTAGGCTGATCGTCTACAATATTTGAGTTGTAGATTGTTGATGCAGTGGAAACGAAGCTGTAGGAGCTTTCTGTATATAATGAACAGTGTTGGGAGTTGTGGTATATTTTCATACGCGCGGGAAACTTTTCTTTTTTTTTTTTTTCTTTTTTTCTTTTTTTTTTTTTGTCTTTCCTGACCTGCATTCATTGTTTGAAACCAGTGGAAGATTGACCTTTTTATATATTACTGTTTTTATTATCCTTTTGGAAGCTCATCTGTAAATATTTTTGTTAATATTGTTTTTCAGTTTGTTTGTTTTTTGCATGTCCAGGCAGTGTGGATGGAGGAACATTAACTAAAGATGTAGAACACAGAGGACTTGTTGACTTGAACTTGTGATGGTTTCTTTCAATATGGATCTTTTTACAGGAATAAAGTATGTATATTTTCACAGAAACACTGAGTCCAAGACGAGATACTTTTTCATTTTCATCTTTATTGTATATCACACAGATTACTCATCACATGTTTTTATTCAGGACAGTTGAAACATAAAATGGAGGAAAGAGTTGCGAGCTCTGCCCTGCGCCACACACCGCCCATGTGAAATAACTGCAACACTCTGGGTGATGTGTGGCCTTGCGAGACAAAGCAGCTTCCTCTTTTGTGATTTCCTGTGCGGGCGCCATGCCGGGCCTCGTCTCTCTCCCTGAAGCCAACAGTACACTCATCCATAAAGTAGGAAACACTACACTGTGGCAAGGAGTTTAGTAGTGCTTTCTACTTTATGGATGACTGCACTGTACATCCACCGTTCCTCGTCCGTCTTCTGTCTTTTTTCCACACTTCTCTCTTCTTCTGCACCTGCGCCACGTCTGCAGCTGCATACACCAACCCCCATACCCCTCCCCACCCCCCCACCCCCACCCCACCACCCAGACACACACCAAACTGAAACCTCTCAGCCCAATGCACACCCAACGCTCACACAGCCCTCGCTCTTTGTCAAACCCAGAAAAATGCACACTTCCTGAGTCGTCTTCAAACATTTGCATGTAACTTTTTATCCACACAACTTGTTCGAGTACGAGAGAAGCAAGAATTAACGTGTTTGTACGAGACCGAAATCTGCCTCAAGTTGTCCCTCAGTCCAGTTTCTGAGGCAAAAGTCAGAACTGAACCGCCAGAGGAAGCGCTATCTTGAGGAAGCCATTTTGGCAGGCATGAGTAAGCTTTTCTGTCTGAGCACTAAGTACATTCAAAAGTCATGTAAAATAAATCCAAGAGCAACTGTTGGCAGTTCAGAATTAAATTAAATTAAAGATCCAGTTGATACATTTAACACTTAAATAATAATAAAATTACAGTTACAAAACTTTTCAGTTTTCAGTTTTAAATCCAATATTTTTTCAACCAAATTCCAAATAAACTTCTGAATAGAGAAGACGTCGTTTAAAAAAACGTTAAAGGAAAAAAAAAAGCAAAGTTAATCAAGTAAAAACCGTATCACTGACTTATCTTCCATTATCTGACACATAAAACACATTCAATCATTTTCACCGTGTCGTCAAAAATAATTCTAGCATTAAATAGACAACACCCTCCGTCATACTTTACCCCGACCTTCACTTTCTTTCTGTTTTAAGTGTGGATTGTCCGGCAGCTTCACAGGTGTCTTCTGTCTGTCCAAGGAGTGGATGAAGAAGAAGAAGAAGCTGTCTCCTTTTGAACCCTCCTCAACCACGTGATGTAACCACAGGAAGAGGTCTAACAGTCACAGCCGCTCTCTTTCTCTTCTTCCGCCTCCACTCTGCTTTCTGCAGGCGCTTTTTTAAATATGCCGACAACAGCTCAGAAGATTTTCCTCCAGAAGAAGAACTCACGACACAAACAACCCAGGAAACAAACACCCTGGACATTTAAGATGTCTTAGAGTCAGCTACAAACACTAGAACATCCTGGTCTTTGCTTTTAATAATTTCACTTTTCTTAATCAGTTTCAAATCAAATTCTTTGAAGTCTTAAGCTCAGTTTCTCCACATCAGTGCGGCCATGATGCTGAGCTGCAGGACATGATGATGTCATTTACACTCAAGTGGCTTCATGCAGTTTTCTTCAGAACACAGTGTGATGAGAAGTTGGGTAGTAAACCCACAATGAAGTGGAGAGAGAGAGAATCTGTCTACGCTGTGTTTTACTTGTTTATTCCACATTAAGTTTATTATATATATATAACAGGTTCATGACTTGTGTGTGTGTGTTCCACATATGAAGCGCACATCCTGAGATCATCTTTACGTTCTCAGAGCCTCCTCAGACAAGACTCAGCGCTCAGACGGCCGAGAGGTGCACGAGGAGATAGCGTGAACCTAAACCTCCGTCTGTCTGCACACGGGCATGTGAGGAGTTTTCA